AGAGCAGAGCAGAGGGGCACAATCCCCTCCCTGGGTGCTGGCCACGCTGCTGGGGATGCAGCCCAGGGGAGGGTTGGGCCTTCTGGGCTGCCAGCGCCCATGGCCACCTCATGCCCAGCTTTTCATCCTCCAGTCCCTGTGGGCAGGGCTGCTCCCCATCCCTTCATCTCTGGATGGATCCCAGGGGTTGCCCCCACCCAGGGGCAGAACCTTGCCCTTGGCCTTGTTGGACCTCATGAGATTCACATGACCCCACCTCTCCAGCTTGGCCAGGTCAATACCATGAGGGTTTGGGGCTTGTAAGAGGTCTTGGGGGGAAAATAGCAGATATTAACACTGAATTCGGTGGTATCCTCTTTTCCTTTCTAGTAATTAAACCAGGAACCAGGGCCGGCTTCTTTAGCCCTACCCAGAACACCGTTGGTGAATGTCAAGGCAAGGAAAGATTGGAGAGGACAGTAGAGGAGTAGAAGAGATTAAAGCTGTGAAATCGGTGTCCCAGGGCTGTCACGCAAAGCGTAGGCCTCATTTTCCAGCTCATCCCGGGCTGATATTCCCTTGGAAAATCTTGGGGAATCCCCAAATGTTAAAAAGTCCCGAGGCTTGCCCAAGCTGATCCCTTCTCACTCCTCTTTCTCCTGAGAAACCCCATGAGAATGAGATCCAAAGTGGACACCAGAACCCATTTGCTCCCCTTTATTCTTGACCTCCATCAAGTCCCGAAATATAGCGTGGGTTCCCGGATCGATCCAAAGGCTCGTCCGGAGCCTGTAATGCCCCTCGTGCTGCCCGCGCTGGCTCAGGGAGCCAGCTGGATCCTGGATTCCCAAAGCCAGAAGAAAGGGAGGATTTTCTCTCCATTGAAAGAAGCCGGAGGAAAAGCAAAAGCCAAGGTCTCGTTATCAGCGTCAAAGAAAGCCACGCGTCCCTTCTCGTAATCCAGAGAGACCCGGAGAGTCCTTGGCCTCCCATTCAGCGGCTGGACCATTTCAAAGGAGGTGAAGGCTTGAAACCTGTCCCCGCAGATGCCAACAGCCCAAATCCCCTGGGAAGGGTCGAGGTTAATCCAACCCTTTCTCCATGCCGAGTCTCTGGCCACCCCCACAGCCCAAAATCCCCTGCTCCCCAGCTGCGCTTCCCAGTAGTGCCTCCCCACCGTGAAGCCTTCGCAACCCAACACGGAGCAGTAGGTGTCAAATCTCTGGGGATTACTGGGCAAATCCTGGGGTGTTTCGTCCCACCTCACGCTCCGCCGGTCCTCGGAGAGGACGAGGTGGGGGTTTGCCGTGTCTGGATCCAGGGTCACGTTTGCTGAGGGGAAGGAAAGCGCGAGAGAAGGAAAAAACCAGCACGTCAGGAGGGAAGACGACGGACGTTTCTCGCCCTCTGTGCCCTCCCGGGGTGGTTTTGGTTTTTTGGCCAGAGAGGAAATCTTGGCCTGGCCAAAGCTGCTTGGTAAAGGCTTTCTCCGTGAAATACCCCCAGCAGATCTGTTGAAATCTATAACAATTTGCACAATTTTTAATTCCGATCAAAAATTCCCCTTGCTGACCCATCAGGAAAGTGTGGATTCCCCTATTTTTTGCTGCCTTTTCTCCCTTGCGTCCCCTTTTTCACCCCAGGATGCCTCCAGGCCTCCTGCGACTTACCCCATTGCACATCCAGTTCAACTGGGAGACTCTCTGGAAGGAGAGAGGAGGAGAGAGGTGCAATTAGGTTGGGGGGGGGGGAGGGGAGGGAACGTGTTTCAAATTGATTAAATGCGAGGAGGCGTGCTTTCCCCCCCGCCTTGTGACCCGCGCACAATCACCGGGCGAACGAGTCCGGCTCGTGGGTGGCCGGCCCTTCAAACCCAACTTTGTGAGGATGCTTCTTCAACTCTTGCACGAGTTACCAACTGGGGATCCGAGGAGGGAAGGGGGGTGGCTATCCAAAGGCGGGGAACGGCCTCAGAACCGCTCGCCTGGGGTTTTACCTACGTGCACGCCGCCAGCCGTTGGCGATACAGTGGCCGCTCACACCGCCAACTCGCCCAGGGAGGGCCAGGCGTTCCCTGCAGCCCCCTTGGGTTCAAACCAGGCTGGAACCAAGAACTGGATTCGGTTCCTCGGCGTAGCTGCAGGGAAGGGCTCGCTCCAGCCCTTGGCCTCACCCCAGCGTTTGGACGCGCGTGCAAAGGCGCCTGGGAACACGGTCGCCCTCCCTCTTCCAGCTCCAGCCCCACGCGGGAGGGTTGTCCGTGGTGGCGTTCCGTAGTTGGGGCCCTATGCGGGTGATCGGCGAGCGTCCACCCCGTCCCAGCCGCAGAAGCGCATTTAGATTTCCCCCTTCCTTTGTACCTTTGAATTTCCTCAGGGCTTCCTTCAGGACGATGTTTTTCTGAGAGAAATCCTTCAGGCTTTTCTCCACCCTGGGAAATTTCTCCGTCAGTTGCTGGAGCGTCCTTGCGTCGCACCTAGGAGGAGAAAAACTGGGAGGAGGGGCGGATCCACCAGGAGAGGCTGATCCAGCAGGACCTGGGCAGGCTGGAGAGTTGGGCGGAGAGGAACCTGATGGAGTTCAACAAGGGTCAAGTGTTGGATGCTGGCCCTGGGGAGGTCGAACCCCATGCACCAGGACAGGCTGGGGGGGGACCGTGCTGGGAG